ACACCACCACCACCACAACCACCACCACCACCACCAGTGGCGTTCCGCTCAACACCTCCTGGTCCACATAACAAATGGTCAGCATTTTAGTCAACAACAAAAAAGGGGTAGACAGGGGTCCTAATGTGCGTAACCCCTGCCGGCAACTGGGTGTGCCACCGCACCCCGGAATGTTGGCATCTGTTATGGTGTGCATTACGATGGCGCCTGCCAGAATCAAACATGGCCTCCCTGTTGGTCCAGCGTATCTACCGTGTGGTCCGTTTGGGTGAGGGGCAAAATCGTCTTTTTGATGTCCTTTGTGGATACTGTTCCGTCGTTTTGATAAACCTTGCCTCGAGAAAGTGGATCAGTTCAGTACAGCTAGGGGCGAGGGGCGATTTGTTCGTAAACCCTACTCTCAGGTTTTGGGTTCCACTGATTGTTCCTGGTAAGCACTTCTACAACTGCTATCGCATCTGCCTAGGTGAATATTGCAGCGTGGAGAAGGAGGAGAAGGACAGAGGGACAATACCCACCACCCCCCGCTCACAAGCGGATCAAGAACCGAGAATAACCTGTTCCCTCGGTTTCGCCCCCCGGCTGCCCGACCAACGTGTTTTTGTGAACCAGGTCCTTTTCGCCTGCATGACTTGGCTCAGCACCAGTCGACTCGACCGGGGTCTTCTTCAGGACACGCCGCCGGGACTAACCAACATGGAAATGGCCCAGCTCATGGCCCGAGCCTGGCCCCAACTCTTCCTGACGGGACTGGTGGAACAGTTGTACAGCACTGCTGTGAAAACCAGCCTGACTGTGACCGAAGAGGAGCTAAGACGCCGTCTGCAGGACCTAAGTACGGAAGTCGTTAACTCATTGAGGCAGACGTCATTACAATGCGTCCTGCCACCTGACATCCTTGGTAAGAATTAAAAATTCCCTTAATTCTACTACGCAGACTACTGCTACTATTAATAGTAGTGATAACAGCGGGAAAGATTCCTATATTATCACCGAAAAAGGGTTTCTAATCCCTGGGCAGTCTTAAAGACATGTCAGGAATTTTTGTCGCCCGCTTCTAGCCACTTCGCTTCTTCGGATCCACCATAAGCAGAGCGTGGTTCAACAACCAGCTATCGCCCTCCACTGATTTTGGAAGAGAGAGGTTAGTGGAGTGTTGACCGTCTAGGGTCCACGCAAACTAGTTGGCCCATATTCGCAGAAGTTAATCTCGAGGATGCACAAATTGTTTTCTAGGAAAAGTGAAGTGCTTACCGGGCCAAGGGCATTGGATTGCCGACGTTTCGGGGAGTTTAGCCAGCACTCCATTATCAAAGCGTTTAGTGCAAAAATCGACCAGAATTTTGAATAGACAGCCGAATTAGTTGGCCTTGGGCTGATTAATTTGTTTCTCCTATCGCTGCCCTGGCCCTCCGACCGTCGTTTGGGAATGTTGGTGCCTCCGGTGTTGTGTGTCGTCACCTCAACTGGGGTCGGTTGCATTTGAGCTCCCCTTTTGGTTGAACTAGTCGACGGGCCGTGTTTACTCGGTATTCTTAACCTCTGTGTGGCCGTCTTGTCCTGGACAGGGCGTATGCAGTGACGTAGGACTTTGTAGGCCGGAGGAGGGTCTAGATGCCTGTTGATTGAGTTGGCGTCTGAGTGCCAAGCATCAAGTGTGAGACTTTCTGTCCTTGCCGTGTCCCGGCCTAAGACGCTGCTCCTTGAAGGTCAAAACTATGGTCAGTTTCGTAAGCTGTGAGACTCCGAGTTATCAGTTTGTGCTCCTGAAGGCAGGTCTGCAGATTCCGTCCGGTTTCCCCAACGTAGTTACAGTCTCCATCGTCAAAACGTATTTGACAGAGGTGACAGTTTGTCCTCGGGTTGCATTAAACGGCCACGAACTGTGGTCTGGTTAGGTGACTGCCTAAAATGAGCGTCAGAAATGGATCCATGGATATTTTTTGAAATATCTACGACTGAGCACTGTCCGTGGGCGCTGTGTTATATTTCCCAGGAACTTAGCTATTCTTAAAGTGAAGTTTAATTACCATGGCACATTTTGTGGCTAGTTGGACCCACAGCGAGTAGATGTTTTTGCTAGGGAACAGAAAAAGTGCACAGATTTCAGCTATTATCTGTATTGGAAATGTGGGGAAGTAAGTTCTGTATATATAAGACATTATTTTTTTTTAACGAAGTCGTGTTGAAAGCGATTATACTCCAGAACCTCAAGCATAGATGGAGACCCAACATTTCAACTTGCCAACAATCGAAGCCAGTTGTTACCTAAAACAGACTTAGAGAAATTATGGTGACCACTCACTCTGGTGTCTTCTGTTTTATTCCTTGTTTTGAGGCATCATCACTAATCCTGTTTTATTATCTAGCTGAATGCACAAAGACTAAGCTACTGCTTATTAAAACATGAATGGTTCTATAGAGCCCAGTTGAAGCATACATATGGGTCGAAGACAACCGACTACTGTGGAATAACCACTTAACGCCCACTCTAAAAACAAATAGTACTACGAGTAGTATGAAATATAACGTATTACGTGGTTATCTCACAGTAGTCAATTGTCTTCGACTCAAATGTTCACTTGATAAATATATTTGCTTAACAAAATGTCCCCGAATGTTCTCCACCTACCACATTTAAGTCTTTTAAATGAGATTTTTCTGGAAGTAACTTTCATTCCTCTCCTGCTACAGAAGAGACAATAGACCGGATCGAGAGAGTGGTCAGACAGCTGGTGGACGTTCTTCCTACCCCAGAGGAATTTATACTGCTCAAACAGGGAGCTATTGTTCAGCTTTACAGTATGGGAGACATTACCACTAATGAAACTGGTAAGTATACGTCTCGGCCTTTCATATACATGACCATACTAGTTCGTCCGTGGACTTCAAAAGAATCACTATCTGTCTGATGAAACAGCAGTGGTTTGCGCGCTATTTAGGCAAGAATAATAGTGGCTTATCTAGCGCTTGATTCTCTCATTCTTCCCCACCTCAACTTGTGTACCAGAGGCAAGATTGAGTCAAGTGAAATGGAGCTGAGATTAGGCTTGCTGGCAGATCTACCATTTCATATATGTGTTTGGCTCCGTCTGATTCTGCCGCAATAGAACAGGTCTGGTAACAAACCCCGCATGTTTTTGTCATTGCAAAGCGTATTTGAGGGGAATTCGAGTCCTCAGTGGGTCCTCAAGCTAGTCTCTGATTTTCAACCCACTTTTACTTCCATCTTTGAAACAGTTAATGGCCTTTTAGATATCATAGTAGATGTGCTAAGTCATAAAATGTTACCCGAAGTTCTGGAATGCGTTTTCAACTCAAAAATTTGACTTAAGCAGGGTTGTTAAATTACGCAGCATGCAGCGTAATCTCAAGATGTTTCCGTTACTTCGAACCGTTACTTTTGAACGAACTTACTTTCGGCCGTCGTAAAAAACTGCACTCCATAACAATGACCACTTAATAAGCAGGCATTTTCTCATTGATTTTCAATACCCCTATAAGTTCAAATCCATTTCGTAGAAAAAATGCATAGAATATATATTTTTTTCACTCATTTGACAGAACATTATTCCTTTTTTAAAATTTTCACCCTAGGAAGGGTATAATTCAGGTTTAGGAAACTGTCCAATTCCCGAATAAGTTTGAACCCCACCAACCGTTGCAGTTGCATCCGGGGTTTCCAGACCACAAGCTTTGTATTTTCCGTGCACGGAAAATCATACACTTCTATATGATTTAAGAGGAAACCATATGGGGTTCATAAGATTTAGTGACAAATGAGTCATACTGTGGACTTTACGAGTAACGTCAGTAAATTCAAAAACACGATGTTTTATGAACTTATGAATTCGAAACTTTTTTAACACCGAAGTGTGCCTTCCCTCCAAGTACAAAATTCGAAGCTTATTTTCCATGAAATGGATTTGAACCCATAGGAACATAGAAAATCAATGAGAAAAGTTCATGCCACTTGAGTAGTCATTTGTTGCGAAGAAACCTTTTGCAGGCGACCGGAAGGAAGTTCACTCAGAAGTTGGCATCCTGATGTCACAGACTCATCATGTAATTAGGCTGCATTGTGAGTAATTTTGCAACCGCACTTAAGTCATCTTTCCAAGCCGAGAACGCATTTCAGAATTTCGATTAACATTTAATGAGTTAGCACATATGCTGTATGCTGGGTTCCCAGTGCAAACCCCTGTCATATATATATATTTATCAGTGTATGTGCAGTACCACATAACCGACAAAGATAAGGGAGGTTGAAATGGCTTATTAGCTGTCGTCAGTCAGCCACATCCAATCCCTGAGGCTCGATCCTGTGAACTGTTGGTTAGAAGTCCGACGATTGCAAAATCTGCAGTTGGCTGTACCTGGCTGATGACAGCGAATAAACTGGAAATGGCTATCTCAATCTCCCTTACATTGGTCGGTTATGTCATGCCGTATAAATTACTAGCCACTGTGCTGCGGCTGGCAGTGTTCGAGATTGAATCGCAAGGCGCATCGGGACGAATGTGTCCCGTAAGCTGATTGGTGCGTTCCCATCTACCATAGTTATTGTATATACAATAGATGTTAATCGAAATTCTGAAGTGCGTTTTCTACTTGAAAAGATGACTTAAGTAGGGTTATAACATTAACCAATTTGTAGCATAATACCATTATAATTCAGCTACTCCAGGATGCCGACGTTTAAACGAGCCTCTTCTCGGCCGCCCGCAAAAATAACACTCTGGAAAAGTGGGCTGCTTAATTAGCTTGGAATTTTCTCATTGATTCTCAATGTACTTATAAATTCGAATATATTTCAAAGAAAAAAAATGTATGAAATGCTCATTCTTTTACTCAATTGGTGGAAACTTACGTCTTATTCAAATTTGATGCAAGCATTACGCTTTCAGCTTACAGAAAATCATACGTTTCTCTACGGTATTAAAAGATGATCGTGTAGGGGTTCATAAATCTATCGGTAAACTTGAACCATATCGTAGACTTTACAGGCGATATTAGTAAATACAGAGACACGATGTTTTATGGACGAGGACTTCATGATCTTAAAAATCTCATAATAAATGACTGCTATACACCCTACTATATCCTTCTTCATGTATAAAATTTGATTAAGCCGTAACTTTCCATTAAATGAGTAAAAAATGTATACGGTATGCATGCTTTCTTTGAAATATATTTAAGTTTATGTGTACATTGAAAATAAATGAGAAAATTTCATGCTACATAAGTAGTCCCCTATTACAGAGTATAATTTTTGCAGGCGGCCGAGAAGAAGTTCCTTCAATAGCCGGCGTCCTGGAATAGGTGAATTGTAATAAGATTATGCTCCAAATTGGTTAATATTACAACTATAATTAAGTCATCTTTCCAAGTCGAAAACGCATTTCAGAACCTCGGTTAACATTTCATGAGTTACCACATCCATATATGAAGTCCAACAGAATCTTTGGGAAAAAATAAAGAAATATTGTTAAGTAACTTTTCAACACTGGTTCCCTAGGTCCTCATTAGCCTAGAGTAAGTGTGCTTAACTCAATTAAGAATTCAGACGTGCTGAAATATCAATATTTATTTGGTGTTTGCGCCAGTAAGTGGTTGCCGTGTGTGTCATTCCGTATTCATTGGCCCTCGTCTCTTCCACTTTTCTCTGAGATTTCTGTGAATGGCATCAATACAAAACCCACCGACATGCTTAAATTGGTCAATATGTCTTCTACTTTTAGACCCAGATAAGCTCAGAGGCTGGTGTCAACAGGCACGTAAGCGTGTTCTCCAGGAGGCAGACAAGTTGGAACGGAAGCTGCTTCTTCTCCAGTTCTGTAGACATATTTGGCTGGTTACTCAGACTTCCGGCACCCAGGCCCTTTTCGAAACTATCTTTAAGGGAACCTTTCACTGTGTTGGCGAAGAACTGCAGCGTCTTATTGCTCAGATGACCTTCGTTGCCATGGAGGCAGCCCAGTACACTCTCCGAGGCTGAACGCATTCTGTCACAGAAAACGACGACAATTCGACATGCCTTCCACCCTTCGCCCCTTAATAGAGTGCACTTGCACGTATGGATTTAATAGAAGACTAATATACGCAAGTTAGGCGACCGCGTAATACATACATACACACATTCTCGCAACCTCGTTTGCGAGAGACAGAAAACATATCTATATATATACACATATATGTACCATACATGAAGGTGTTGGAGACACCGACAGTCTTCTCAGCGAGAGAGAGACAAACAGACAGACAAGCAGTAGTCTTTTATAATGCGAAACTTGCAAAAAAGAAGTTTACAAAATTAACTCTGCTCTTCTGATTATTCTTTATGTGTGTGGGGTGGAGGTACATCCATTACGATCTGACACATCAGCGGGATGCTAGCGCCTAAACTCCCGTTTAAAAAGCAGATGCTTGGCTGTTAGGGCATTGGTTTTCCCGTTCTTTATTTAGATAAATTTGGTGCTACAGGCTCGTGGATAGACTGAAGGGCACAGACAGCCCCGATGTGTTCTGCTACATGAGAAAAACTGGCTAAATTTCCGCAATGCGTACGAAATATATACAGAGGACATTTTTGAAACTATTTGGGTCCGTCCCAGGTCAGTTTTTTTCTTATTCTAGATTCGATTCAAACTTTGACGGGCAAGGTTATATCCTTTAACTTAGGGGGTTTCCATTTACCCAATGCACGTTGAGGGAATTAAGCGTTATGACAACCTTGCTTAACTCGTGTTTTGGGAAGAATAATGTGTCTGAGGATGATGGATACCCAGCTACTTATGGCGCGGACCTAGGGGCTGACTGATGTAGGCATGGTTGGGAGTGGATATATCAACTTGCGTTGGTAAAATTTTACCATAACACAGACTACTGAGCTACGTGCACCTGGTAATGCCAGCGAGATAGGGGCATGCGGCGTCTTTTGAGAAAAGTTTAAACGACGATTAAATACACGCAGAGATGCCACTAATCTATCTACAGTATATGACCTAACTGTTGAAACGTTATGACGAGAAATAATATGATGGATTTAGGCACCTGAAACTTTGTGAATTTCTCTCGTTTAGCCAGCCCCTTCAGGAAAATGTCCTTTTTCATGTTTGGATGAGTCTTCAAATGTGACCCAAATGACCGTCTACATGAAGCAGAAGTCCCACGCACTCATTATTTCAGCAAAGGCTCTCCATAAGCATCCTACTTTTATGGTTTTGATAAATACATAGCACGATAGCCATCTCTATGGACAATCGATTGAAGGCACTGAATACTGTGAAATATTCACTGATAGCTAAAGGATGAACTGAAAGTCGACTTAATTCACCACCAAAAAGCCGCAAATAAATTTGACAAAAGAAAAGTTTTCTTAATAAAGAGAAGAAGGTGCGCTTACAATTGGGTCAGTTGATTCTATTAATGGTAACAGGCCAATCCATCAGTATATTAATTTATTAAAACCTGTATTCTTGTGACATCTCAGTTAGCGAAATTATAAAAAACAGAAAAGTATATCGATTTTGCGCGAAAGGATCATGAAACACAATATTGGGCATTACACACTTGCCTTTTAGCCAACTTTTAGGAAACACTAAGTCTTCGAAAATGATTATTGGAACCGCATGGAACATAATAATTTTCCAAACATTCCCGTACTTATACCGCTTAGTTTTTTGCATGAACATGCAACATTAGCTTCAAAATTTGAGTCTATTCATGTGACACGAAGTTACGCGTTCCCGATGTTTTCACTTTTCTCAGAGAATCGTTCTTTATAATCTGTGAAATGGTAACTCTGGTACTTATGTTATATTTTCCTTTAAAGTGGCACATTGCGCTGAGTTTCACCACGGCTACTTGCAAAGGAGCACACGCACCAGTAACCCGATCCCCGAGGAATAATGAGGATAGCATGGCATTTGACAGTGCTGGCAAAAATTGAGCATTTTTCGCAGTACTTTCAGTTTATTTTCACAAAAGAACTAGATAACATTCTATCCAGCTACGAGAGCGCGGAAGCGTCAGTTATAAGAAAGACGAGGACGTAATATGTCGTGATGACTTGGCTCTTTTGTTTCTTTAGTGGGGTCGCATACCGAGTCTTTGCCAAAAGATGAACTGTAACTGAATGTGCTCCACCATCAAAAAAGCCGCAAATAAATTTGACAAAAGTTTTCTTAATAAACAGAAGAGTGTGCGCTCGCGATTGGGTCAGTTAATTCTATTAGAACGTGGTGGTAACTGGTCAGCCCGTCAATATTGGTATTTATTAAACCTTTATTCATGTGACATCTCAATTAGCGAAGTTGTAAAAATGGAAGAGTACATCGATTTCGTGCGACAAGCTAATGATACATAATACTGGACATTATGCACTTATTTTTTAGCCAAGTCTTAAAGAATGATTGTTGAAAACGCATGAAACAAAATAATTTTCCAAACATTCCTGCGCTAATACCATTTAGTTTTTTGTATGAACAGGCATTATCAACTTCTAAAATTTGAGTCTATTCATGTGACACGAATTTACGCGTTCTCTAACTTTTCACTTTTCTCAGAAAATTGTTCTTTCTTATCAGTGAAATGGTAACTCTGGTACTTATTTTACATTTTCAATTAACGGGGTCTTTGATTATTAGGCTGATGTTTTGGTGAACGCGTTCGGGCCGGTTTCAGATTGGTTAGTAATTTTTTGTGAAGTTAGGCATATTTAATGAGATAGGTCATTCACTGTATGCTGGTCGGGAAATGAAGTATGGATCATCCATATCTCCCTGGGATTTTAGTGTGGAAGAATCGTAGGTGTTGCTTGAGGGGTGAGCAGTAGGTAATTGAGAAAAATTGCTGCAGAAGTCGGTAAACGCTACTCCCTCATAAATCTGAATGCTCCCGAGCGCTCAATTGCCGGACACTTTTTGCTCGTCGTGTTTGACAATAAACAAGCCAGGAATAGCCACTGTCTTTTTTTTAATGGACAAAGATTATTTTTTGAGAAAAGAATAAGTGAAGAAAACTGCTGGGTTACTAGGAGCAGGCGGGATTACGGGCAGTTGGATCATATTTATGATTGTACCGGCTCCTCAATGTAGCGTCAAACTACAGTGACTTTTAAGCATCTGGGTATCAGCGGTTCTTTTACCACCCAACCTCTCACTGTACCGGCACATTATATGAACAATCCACGTGCTCTCTTTACAACGAATCGACCGAAGAGTCCTACAACGTTATCAGTTGGACATTTTAACAAAGTCGACATAAACTCTCGCTTCTGCCTAGCCTTGCACGGCAAAACACTGCAATAAAATTTTGTATATCCGTTTGCTGTAAATAAGCCTCTACAGGAGTCCTTTGACATTAGGAGTACAAACATTCATCTTCATCCGTCAATAGTCTATTTAATCAAAAAAACCCCGTTCCTAAAATAACAAGTTGCACGTAAAATTAAATCAATTTGTTAAACTTATTTTGCAGAATGGGCGCTCTGTAGATTGTTAATGCCAATGAAGACGAGAACGCGGGTCAAGGCGTAGTTACAATTAGATGCGCAAACCGACAAACTGGCGAATCCTACAACAATTTAAGGTAATGATTGAACTCGTTGGAGAAAGTCCGAAATATCACATACGGCTATTTTATACACCAAATCTCCAAATCTTGAGGATTGCGTTTGCAACTTGACTAGGAAAGAAGCCTACGACATTCAGTGCGGCGGTTGTGGTGCAGTATATTCTGGCCTGGATTCCGGGCACACCTACCTATGCTTTGGACAGGACTCGCACTGTTGACGTCTGTCCATCCAATGAGGGCAGCGAAACTCTCAATGTTATGCACTCAAATGACTCGCGATGCACTAAACACATCTGGGCGCAATGTGGCAAGCGTGTTACAGAACCCGACTGGCGAGTGCCCTCCCCGTTATAGTTAATATTTCCAACTGTAACCAACAAGACAACGGACTTGAGCACCAATAGCAGAGTGTCAGACTTAATGCCCAGTGATCACTGAAACGGGGTTCGGATAACCGACCTCCTAGTTTGGAGTAGAGGCGGCTGACGACGACTGTCTGTCGCTGTTTTGTCCCTCTCAGTACAACTTCCAACACGTACATATGCAGGCTTAAGTTGGCGCATTCCTAAGTAGAATAAATCCAGTGTGCTCTAACCCATTACGACTAATACTCAGTCGTGACCTTGAAGGCTGCCAGATAACTGGATAAGTCGGTCCTACTAGGGGCTGAGAAGTGGATTTCATGTGACCGTTATGGAATCCTCACTTGTATAAGACCTTGGAATCTGTTTAAAGCAGCCTGGTACGCATGGAGTTAGAACCAGATCGTGGGTGTCACGCGAGACGGGCTGTTTATCTTTACCAGTCAGTGCACCAATACCCTCGGTTTTGCTCCCGGAAGATGGCGTATGGTGTTGTAAGGCAGATCAAGGAGGAGACAATCCTAGTGGATCTTACTTTCAACATGCACACACGCCAGTCATTGGTGGATCTATCTGGTACGGCAGCGACAGACGCCGTCTTCCGCGACGATCGATCTTTTGTTGCTGTCATAGTGGAGGATGTTAGCCCTGTTCTTTACATTTCGGTTAACAATATTCTGGGGTGTTTCACCTTCGTACCTTAATAGCGGGAAGTTTGAAACTGTGATTCTTGCTTGCACGCCTTTCTACAAAATATGCCAAAATTTCGGAGCAATTGTGTTTTAAAGGCTTTAATCCTGTTCCGGCACGTATGGACAAAGCTGTATGTGGCTCTTCTAAAATTCTGGCCATTGGAGGCGAAGACAAGAGCTCTAAGTTTCCTGAAAACGGTTCCTGCGGCATAAGTAGACATCGGAGAACCCCCTAGATTTGCTCGCTTACATGAACATAAGCTGACTGTGAGACGAGGCGACGAACCATCACAAGTGGCCACCCACACATACGAACTGGGTCATGAGCTTAACTTCGCAGTCAACCAGATAATCGCCCATTCCGGAAA